CAATCTAGCTCTGCAGATGGTAATTCAGGAAGAATATGAAAGCATTTCAGGGAGTACCTATTAATGAGAATGGTTCAGAGGTGACAAACTTCAGTAACAGAAAGGTTGGACATTTGGGGTTTGTTCACCTTGAAGGTAAAGGAGATTGAATCGAGGTATTCAAAATCATGATCTGGATAGAAGAGGTTACAAAGAATCAGATGCCATTCAGGGCAGAATTGAGAAACAAAGGACACCAATTTAAAGTGACAAAAGCAACTGCAATAAGTTGGTGGTGGTGGTGGTTGGGGGGGGGGGGGGCGGTGGAGGTGGAGGAGGAGGCGGGAATCACGGTGGTTGGGGTCTGGAATTCAGAGAATATTGCAAGGGCAGAATCCATCATTCTTTTCAGAAGAAAGCTGGCTCATTAACTGAGAAAAAATTGACAGGACCACGAAGACAATGCAGGGAATGAAATTAAGTGGGATGCATTTGCAGAAAGCCAGCACAGAAACAAATTCTCATGTTATATACTCTATTCCCATACCTCTTATAGGAATAGATTAGTAACTTGAAATAATCTGACAAATCTGTGCTTCAATTTCTAACTGCACAAATGCATTTCACAGCCTCAACTCCAGTTTTCTCTGCTCGGTCAAATACTTCTTGTATCTATTATCCATGTCTTAATTAAGGCAAATGTAATCACCAATATTTGATATTTCACTATATTTTCTATTTTATTCTGTTCACAAACAAGTTTTCAGAAATCAGTGATAACACATTGTGGAGCTGGAACAGCACAGCAGGCCAGGCAGCAGAGGAGCAGGAAAGCTGACGTTTTAGTAAAAAAGGGTCCCAACCCAAAACATCAGCTTTCCTGTTCCTCTGATGCTGCATGGCCTGCTGTGCTCCTCCAACTCCACACTGTGTTATCACTGACTCCAGCATCAGCAGTTCTTACTATCTCTTTCAGAAATCAGTTCCTTTTTAGCTTTAAAAAAATTTGAATTGGGCAATAAAAAGTCTCGGTACTGGTTAATTTAGAGATATGATACTTAAAAATAAATTTCTCTCATTGATAGCTTCACTTTTTTCATCTGAAATAACACCTGAGTTTTAAAGCAAAACCTTAAATATGCCATGGAATTATTTGAAGAGCAGAAAATTCTCCTAAAACCTTGACTCTCTCTTCCGGAAACAACAGTAACAATTAACTCATTTTTTTAAGAAACAAGCAAAAAAGTTGTTACAATAGATACACAATCCATTTCAAACAAAATCAGTGGCAAAGACCTTCATAATTTCCATTAAACAAAGTCTGTAACTTCAGAGGATTATCACAAATTACAGTAGAGAAATAACTACACAAATTACTTACAAACATGGCAGGTCCATACTGGAATGTGCTTGGAACGCCAGGCATACCAGCATAATATGGCAATCCTGTGTAACTGTATCCTGGTGGCAAAGCTGGGTTTAAGAAGGCTTGCTGAGTGGTATGATGAGCCTGATTTTGTTGAGGTTGGGAGAGTGTGGTTGCTGGTGCAGGTGAAGCTGAGTCACCTCTGCCAAACTTTGCTAAATCGCCTGAAAAATAGAATTTTTACTCTTTAAAATGGTTCAGAAAACATTGTTTTTTTTAGATAGTCATTAGTTGTTACAACTGTTGCATCAGGAAATGATACCACTCCATAACATTTCAAAACATTGCCCTGCAAATCAATGCAGCTCCAAAACACTTAAGGGCAAAAAGGAATTAGCAATAAATACTGGACAAGTCAGTGACACACTCTAAGGTGCCACAAAGGCTCCTACGGAAGATAGGAGTGCTTGATGTAGGAGGATCAAATAATAGCATGGATAGGTGATTAGCTGATGGATGATTGGCAAGATGTGACAAATGGAGACCTGCAAGGTATTGTGAAAAGTTGAGGCCTCAGCACAATTTGCATCAATAACCAAGATGACAGGAGAGAAGGCATGGTAGCTAAATTTGCCGATGACAAAATGTGAAGCGTACATAAGACCTATATTCACTAACTTTCTAAAGAAAATTTATTAGAAGTAAGGAGGCCAGGCAGCATCAGAGGAGCAGGAAAGCTAACGTTTCGGGTCAGGACCCCTTCTTCAGAAGTCCCGACCCTAAATGTCAGCTTTCCTGCTCCTCTCTTGCTGCCTGGCCTGCTGTGTTCCTCCAGCTCCACACTGTTATCTCGACTCCAGCATTGGCAGTTCTTATTATCTCTTATTAAAAGAGAATTTCTGATTATTCATTCAGGAGATGCCGGATTTGCTGGCTAGGCCAATATTTGTTACCCATCCTTGGTTACACTCTTGCACCACAGTGATGGGGGTGGTGGGCATCCAGGATGCAAAATCTGCAAAATAACAACAATATATTTCCAAAACAGGATGGAGATAGGTATGGAGGGAAAGTTACAGTGGTTGTGTTCCCATGAATCTATTGCCCTTGCCCTTTTACATGGTAGTGGGCATAGGTTTGGAAGATGCTGTCGAAGGAGCCTTCTGCAGTGCATCTTGGAGATGTTACACACTGCCGCTACTGTGCAGTGGTGAAGGGAGTACATGTTTGCAAACACGGTACCATTCAAGTAGGTTGCTTTGTCCTGGATGGTGTTGTGCTGTTGGAACTGCACTCATCCAGGTAAGCCGGAAGTATTCTATCACACTCCTCACTTGCCTTGTAGCGAGAAGACAGACTTAGGGAGTCAGGTGCCGAGTTACTCACTGCAGTATTCCTAGCCTTGAAACAGCTAGTGTAGCCCCGATATGGCTAGTCCAGGTCAGTTTCTAGTCACTGGTAGTCCCCAGGATGTTGAGCGATGGCAATGCTATTGGATGTCATGGGGTAATCGTTTGATTCTCTCATTAGAAGTGGTCATTATCTAGCACTTGCGTGACGTAGATGTTACTTGCCACTTGTCAGGCCAAACCTGGATACTCAAAAGATACCAAGAACTGCAGATGCCGAGTCAGAGTCAACAGTGTGGAGCTGGAAGAACACAGCAGGCCAGGCAGCAGAGGAGTAGTAAAGTCGACGTTTCGGGTCAAGACCCTTGTTCAGAACTGAAACTGGGGTTCTGAAGAAGAGTCCCAACCCGAAACATTGACTTTCCTACTCCTCGGATGCTACCTGATCTGCTGTACTCCTCGAGCTCCCCACGGTCAAACCTGGATACTGTCCAGATCTTGCTACATTTGGACGTACACTGTATAAGATTAGTAGGGAAACTAATATCCCATGATTGACTTAGTTTAGTTATAATTGCATAATTAAAGTATATTCATTGGTCAAACATTTGGCTTAATAGAACCAACACAGATCTTGGCACCATCATGCTCAGCTTCATTTGACAAAGACATGCACTATTGGATGGTGAACAACATGAAGACAATAACCTAATGTTTTACAGTTACAGTTGCAAGGATGAGGGTGCTCTTTTTAAGCTATGTACAGCTTAAATCCAGATTTCCAAGGTTGAATAAGGCAGGTAATCTTTTATCAAGAGATCATAAGCAGAGCTGTGCCCTTGTACTGGTGTGTTGTAATTTGTTTAGAAGTGTAGCTTTTGAATAAATGTAACTTTGTAAAATTTGCAATTATATAATCTTTTATACTTTCACTCAAGATTATGTACAGAGGAATATTTCATGAGTTCATTCCTTTGCCTCTGAAGTATTAAGTGTAATACAAACCTGTTTCCAAATTTTCAAACACAGCAGAAACAAAAAAAAAATCAGAGCACTGATGACTAATAGAAAAGCAAATGGTTAGAGATAAGCAAGGGTCTGATTAAAGAGAACTTCAACAAATGTATAAAAAGAACCGAGACATGAGCACAAGGATATAAATCATTGGGTCCTGACTGCAAATGCCTCTCTTTTCCTTCAACAGAGGCAAACAACACTTCAAACTATATTGCCTTAGTTAAAATTCAAAGTGACAACAAAACCTAAGAGGACTGACCCCGGAATGATTGGATCTTAAGTTGCCAGTCAGGGGATAATGAGAGGCGACAGTCAATGAGAGACTGATCATGGACCCCTTAAACCCATTAGCAATAAGCCCTGCTTAGCCTATGCCAATTAAGAATGCATGATATAATTGACCCATACCTCAGAAAGAGTTAAGCAATGGCTTTCAGTGACCAAGGTACACAAAGAGGTTTGAAGTTATCCTGCTCCCAATCCCAAGTGGAAAGCCCAAAGCATTGGAGAGAGGAGAGAGGGTGTTGACCTTTGCCCTAAGCTAAACCAGAAACCAAGACCCATACACTAAGCCCATAAAGTTACTGCCCCGTTTTAATAGGTATATTCATAAACTAAGCTTTCCAAGTTACTGCACTAGATTGTCTTTTGCTGCTTTAATGGCTGAAGTCTCAAATTAACAAGTTGGTATTGGTACTTAAAGTAAAGACTCCTAGAACCTACCACTACTACACACCATCAGGGGAGCAAATGGTGCTGTACAACCTGCAAACATCCCCAATTCTGACTTTATAATGAAGGAAGGCCCTCAATAAAGCAGCTGAAGATAACTGGGTCTAGGACACTATTGAAGAATAGGGCTTCCATTGTGCAGTGCCACTAGCTCTGAGCTAGTGTTTAAAGCTGTGTTTAACTCCCATCTGTTCCAGAGGTGTATAATGTCTTCAGACAAGTTCATTAGAAAATATATACCCTGAGAAACAAGGCTCTTGCAGCATCTTGTGCACAAAACATTTAGTCTAGCCTTATCTTTTACTGGTTCCAGAACATGCCATGCTAAGAAATTATCCTTAGAATGTTTTATGAACGCATGTCAGCTAGCTTTGAACATTTGACTTTTCCCGTCTATATGTACATTCAAATCTCCAATGATTATTGCCATACTTTTCAACAAGCTCCAATTATTTTTTTTTTCCTTTACACTCTACCACATGGTTATTGCTGGAGGCTTGTACTGCTCTGCTACAAGTGTATTCTTGCTCAGTAATAAAAAAAAGGTTAACTTGTATGAAGAACTACAAACTAAATGCAGAACTTTTGATATCCCAATGACCAGCTTGATGCATTATCAAAAATAAGAATCAGCAAGTTTAGAGATGGCATTCACACACCACTTTTCCTTGAAGGATTAAACCAGGACAGAGGACAAATGAGTCCACTATCTGTGGAAGGAAGGAACTTAATACACCAAATGGTGTATTGGCAACAAAACAAAAAAAGGAAAAAAAAAAAACAAAAAAGAGAAAAAACAAAACTGCCTTGAAATAAGACGTACATGACCTTGGAAATACACACCTGAATAAGGGTTGCTTGCAAGGCTTCCATCTCTGCTGGCAAGTGCTGCAGCTGGAGCAGGAAATGCCATTCCATAGTAATCCTGGAAGATTGACAAAGGGAAGAGGTAAAGACCAGGTAATTTCGAGGAGAATCAGAAGGGAAGAGAGTAGAGGTAAGGAATACAGACTTTTTAGATACAGACATTTCTTCAAAACAACTTCAATAGCTAATGTAGCTTTTCAGGAAGTTCCACTGCAAATACCAATAAAAATTCAATAATCTTAACTATTTGTTGATATCCAAAGTATCTTTAAAGGGAAATGAAGATAGTGATAATAACTAGTAATCTAGAAGCCCATGCTAATGTTCTGGGGACATTGTAAATTACACCAGCTTGATTTGAACCAAATCAATAAAATCAGTGTTTAAAAACTAGCCTGTGGACTTTGACAACATTAATTGTTGTAAAAACCCATCAGGTTCGTTAATGCCCTCAGGGGAATTCTTACCTGATCTGGCCTACATGTGACTCCAGACCCGCAGCAATGTGATGATATACTGCCTGCTGAAATGACCAAGCAAGACACTCGAGGGCAATTAGAAGTGGGTATTACATGTTCCCCATACCAACACCACCACATTCCATGCCAAAACAGAATTAAGTGATAAAGTGAATAATTATAAAATGTTAGAATCTGTTCAAACGTTCTGAAAAATCAAACATAACTACTGAATACTTAGTGTCTTCACAATTGCAGTAATTCAATAATCTTAGTCAAATACATCTTCCACTGCAACTAAAAAGAGGCCAGTGATGTAGGACTGGAATTTCAAATCTCAGTTGATGATTGGTTGTTACATGCTAACTCAGATGCTGACAAGCAATTTTTGCTGAAGCTAAAACAAACTAAGGCTCCACACAAGAAAAATTAAAATTAAAGTACTGCAGATGCTGGAGATCTTAATTAAAAACAAAGTGCTGGAGAAACTCCAAAGCCTTGGCAGCATTGGTGGGTGTGTCCAAGAAATCAACTACAGCTCAATTCACTCCAAAAACTATAATAATTTTGGTTCTTCGTTCAAGAATGGAAGTGGTTGTGTTTATTTTTAAAAAAAAGTGGTTGAGGTCAATACTTAAAAGAAACTTTCATTCAATCTCTTGTACCTCAGTTTGCATAAAAAACATACCACGTTGAGGCCACAAAATTCAAGAGGTTGAATTCTGCCTCAACAGTACACGTGATGCTATCATTACTAAAAGTACAAGACAAACTATAGCATACTAATTAAACTAGAGTTTACAAAGACAAAGAATCTACTAACCAGAGGTAGCCTGGATTGAAGTACCTGAAGGTCATCATACCCATAGATCTATTGCATAAAACAGAAAATAAAAGATCAAAATCTCAAAGAAAGCAATTTAAATAAATGTTTTCTGTACAAAGTGCATTTATAGACAAAGCAATTTCACTGCCTGATCTGCGCACACAATTGTTATTTAGTATTTACATTCACTCTTACTGGGTATGCAGGCAGCAGTCCCCCTGGTCCAACAATGTACTGATTGTGTAAAATAGGAGGCACACCTGGAGGAAGATTTGGCGGAGCCTTCCCTGCAATAAAAAAAAAAGCAGTTACATTAAAAATGTGTCTTTAACTCATGGAGATAAAGCCATGGGGCTTATGCAATGTGCCCTTCTACTGTTTCAATTTGTATAACAGGTTATTGAATATCTGACTCCATTATTTTCCCTATAATCTTGAAATCTAAAGACTGCATGCAGACACTTGATGGATGGATTTTTTGAAAAAAGGAAGGGTCTCCAAAACGCACTAGACGAGCGTTGGAGGAAGAGAAGTTTGAGAATACGGGGCTGGAAGAGATTGATGAGGAGCAATATCATAATTACATGAAAAAAAGATGAAAGCCAGACAATCAATGGATGTCAAGCAGGATACAGCAGAGAAGCAGGTTTAGCATAAGACAGAATACATACAGCACTTGTCTGGATTAATTAATTAGTTTGGCACTTGGACTCGTGAAAAGTACACCCTTAGAATAGCAGTATTAGTTAATGTTTTCCCTAGTCAAACTTCAACCTGAATGACAAGTAGGTCACAGACAAATCACTGGGAATTATCGTTGAGGCTAGCACAATAGGGACGACTCAAAATCAAAACTCTCCTATTACATAGGAACAGAACAAATATTACTGCAAGCATTAGTAATTCTTATTTGTTATCACCGGGATTCTGTTGTGTAGGTATAAATATGGAGACTGTCATTTTAAGAGTCAGATCACGTGGCATAATTCTGGGCAGGGAGTAACCTTGTTTTGCTTTTATGGAGATGTTTACTCTACAGACATCAGAGTTCCTACTAAACAATTCAGCCTCCTGGTATTTCTTGGAACTTGGCACAAAAAGAAAACTGGTGTCAAAAGGATAAAAACTGTCTCAAGATCAACGGAGTCAATCCAACAAAAAAGAAACATGGTTCTTTCTGCCAACTTCAGATACTTTGATAAAAAGGGAGAAATCAAAAAAGGCACCATCGCTGCAGGTACAGTCAAAAAAAGTGAATTCACCTCAGGGAAGAGATGAACAGTGCACAACAGCTTGCCAGGTGCTCCATCCTCAAGGATCACTGAGCAATTAGCACCCACGTAGAAGGAAATGCCTTGTGCTAGGGGTATAGACTTGGAAAGAAACAGACAGCCTCAGGAGTACCTTGTTTTAAATGGGAAGCAGTGAGATAGTGCTAAACTTTGAGGTACATTGCGCCACACAGGCACTTCCCATTTAAAGTGAGTGGGAAATTTGGGACAAACACAGAGTTGGAACTTCTACAGAGACTATTATTTCGTTTAAGCTAAGAAAGTTGAAGCAGATATTGTTGCCTCTGCATTCCTGCATATTATGGGAGGAAAACTTTTAACCGCCCAAGTTGTCTGGTACAGCAAAGATATAGAATTTATGAAGTGGTAGAGATCCTAAAGAACCATTTTTCACCAAAAGCACTGGTGATTGCTGAAAGGTTCAGATTCCACAAACACGATGAAGCATGCTACTGAATCTCCCAGTTCATAGCAATTTTGAAGTTAACTGAATCCTGCGAATTTGGAGGCAATTTGAATGATGCTGTTAGACACAGACTTGTTTGGAGTTTAAGATATGAAGCAATCCAGAAGCGATTACTGATGGAAAAGATACCTAGACTTAAAGAAAGCACAAGAAACAGCAATCTCTAAGGATCTAGCAGCCAAGGGAGCTCGACAGCTAAGCACGAACAAGAGTTCACAAAATGGTGACAGAGACGAGTCCCAATAGACTTAAAACTACCGTCAGCATGGAAAAACAGGTCAGGCAGCAGCAAATAGAGAAATAAAGAAGCCATATGCAGAAACTGTGGCCAAAAAGGGCACAATAAATGGGTGTGATTGAGGAAGAAACCTGAACTACATTCAACAAAAATACAAAAACTGAAAAGTAAAATCTACATGGTACAAAAAGAATGTGAAAAGCCTCAGTTCAGACAGGAGCTGTTATTAAGCTTACTGGCCACTGCTGGCAACACCAAGCAATACTGGATCACTTAATTACTGAATGGCAAACCAGTACAAATGGGAATGGACCCTGGAGTCACAGTTTTATTGATACCTGAAAGAATACATCAGAAGCAGCTGAATCATACTGTGCTGCAAACCCTCAAAGATTGTCTTCAGAATGTACACAGTTGAAGTGGTGCCTTTGTGTGGTACAAAGTAAATGCTCAGTTATCTGGCAAGTTTCGAGATCAGTCCTTGTAAATTAAGGAAGGAAAATTTTCCAGAATTATTGGGAAGAACATGGTTGGAAAATTTTCATTCAACTGTGCTGAAATAAATGGCTTGTCAGATTCTGAGACTGTTCTATCACAAATTCTAAAAAAACATGTTATTGCTTTCAACGGAGAATCTGGGCAGCATAGAAAAGATATCAAATTGACAATCAAGGATGAGAAACAAGCAAAATGCTACAAAGCTAGATCAGTGCTTTATGAAATCGGAGGCAAAATTAGACAGGCTGGTCAAGACAAAGTCCTTTAATCCATCAATGAGAGTCAAAGTCATTCAGCCACATGCATCATACCAGTGAAAAAGAAAGATGGATCAGTATGCTTGCTGCAGTGATTTTAAGGTCACTATTAACCCGGTACTGTGTGCTGAGCAGTGTCCTTTGCCTTTAATCGATAGCATGTTTGATGCACTAGCTGGAGGTCAGCTTTTCAGTAAAATTAATCTTAGTCAAGCCTATCTCCAGGTGAAGTAGAGTGAAGTCTCAGAAATATTTGACGATTATGACACAAAGAACAATTCAAATCCAACAGACTTCAGTTTGGAATCACATCTGCACTTGTGTATTTCTAACATGTCATGCATCAGACTAAACAGATTGGAAGGAGTCCAGCGTTACATAGATAATATTTTAGTTATGGGGAGAAAGAAAAAAAAAGTGCCCATAATTTACTCTGCAGAGTCTTGAAGATTATGGTCCAGTTGTGACGGGAGATAAATGTGAATTTTTAAAAATCTTCTATTGAGTATTTAAACCATGCCATCGATGCTAAGGGACTACACAAGTCATCTTCAAAAGTAAACAACATAACTGAGGCATCAGCACCTAAAATGTAAACCAACAACGATCAATTACTACAGGTGGTTTGTCCCAAATCTTGCAACTATTCTCAAGATGTTGCACAATTTATTATGACAAATTAAGAATTGGAAATGGGAGACCATTATGAAAGAGCCTTTGCATAAGTCAGAGTTGGAGTAAAAGTCAGAAGTCCTGACCCATTTTGACCCATGGTTCTGCTGTAATTTGCATGCAACTCAACCATATGGAGTGGGAGCATTTGTTTTTCACATTACCTAATAATGAATAGAAGCCAATAGCTTTTGCATCAAGATCAATAAACAAAGCAGAAATGACCTACACACAGGGAGAATTTTTAGCATTAGACAATTCTACCAATGGCCAATAATTAGCCTAACAGATCACAGACTACTGACCGCAATATTTGGGCCTCATACAGAGATACATTTCTCTAGCAGTAAGCCATATGCAGGGGAGGGCACTGTTGCTATCAGTGATGGATATAGTACTTCATGACAAGATCACAGGAACAACCCCCAGAACGAATCAGAAGCTGGAACTATCCATATAAACAGGACGGCTCCAATAGGCAATGAGGATCATGATTCCAGCATAGCCAAGGAAGCTGGTGTTAAATCAACTACACAAAGGTCACTGGGGTACTGCCAGTATGAAGGGAATAACCAGAAGCTACTTTTGGAGGCCAGGGTTCAACTTCGAAACTGAAAAGGCAGGAGTATGCGCACCTTGTGCAAGAGTTTGCAATGTACCTATATATCAGTACCATTACACACATGGGAATGGTCAGAAAGACCATGGTGAAGAGTCCATATTGACCGTACTGGACCTTTTGAAGGATCAATGTTTTTCATATTGTTTGATGCACATACTAAATGGTCTTAATTTGCCATAAAAAAATCTTTGGAGAAAGCTATTAAGTGGGGGGGCAGGTCTTAACTAGATTATCTGGAACAATATGCGAGTGATAATGGTCCCAGTTTCTCTCAAGAGCTTACAGACTAAAGCAGCATGGAATTCAACATATCAGATCAATTCCTTATTGCCTGTCCACAAATTGTTTGGCAGATAATAAAATATTTCTTCATAGTAACTGGAGAACAAAGATCGCTATGTCAAAGACAGAGTCAATTTTTGTTAACATTCCAAAAAACGATTCGATGACTCCAAGTCCTCCAGCATTGCTCGTAGTAAAGTGTCAGTTGCACATGACAGTTAATTTGTTGAAACCACTCATGACAAAAGACTGACAGGAAACAACAGAATCATGTTTTCCAACAAGAGAACAAGCCTAAATACCATGTTTTCTGCAAAAGGAGAGATGGTGACAAGGAATTTCAGTATTGGCAAGTGGGTAACATCATTGTAACATCGACTGGACTGGTTTCCTACACCAGGCAGATGAGTATGAAGACAACATGCAGATTAATTCTTGTCAACCAGAATGAATGAATGTGCTACAGACATTATTTGAAGATCCACAAATAACAGCGTCAAATAGATACCTGGATATACCCAAGAACAGTACAGTACAACTCGTGCATCTGAGGGACAGTACTGTAGTAGAGAATACCATGACATTGCGTGAACCTTCAAACACTCAGCTGTCTCAGGCAGAGATAATAGATACATGTTTCTCATATACCAAAAACACCAGAGATTAAAGCCAAGGAGAAAAAGAAACAATTGCTGAAGTACACAGAGCCACAGAGAACTGACATCCTCCAGAAGTCTTACCCACTGATGACTAATGAGTACGATTGTAAATATTGTGAATGTTTTCATTGCAGGAACCTCTGAAAAGGGGGAGGGATGTTATCTATTCATACAAGTATGGTGGTCTGTCACTGTAAGAAGTTGATGTAACAATTATGTCATTGGCCATTTTGACTGGCAAATAGGTTAGACTAGACGTTGCTGCCTGTAGAATAAACATCTACACAAAAGGTCATGTTGTTTAAAACTTTGGTTTCTTGACCTTCTTGGAACTTAACATTTACTAATGTTCAATTATAAATCGGACGCATGATCCAGTTACCTTTTATTTTTAACCAACACTTGTCATAGCTCGCTGCCTATTTAGACCATGAGCAGTGAGTCCACCACTCCTGAAGACTATATCACAAATGGGGATTATACAATCACAGAATCTCCAGTGTGGAAGCAAGCCATTCAGCCCATCGAGTCCACACCGAACCTCCAAACAGCATCACACGCAGACCCACCCCCACCCCATCCCTGCAACCCCGCATTTCCCCTGGCCAATCCATGTAACCTGCACATCTTGTAGACCGTGGGAGGAAACCAGAGCACCAAACTAAAACCCACGCAGACATAGAACATGCAAACTCCACGCAAACATTCACCCAAGATTGGGATCAAACCCAGGTCCCTGATGCTGTAAGTCAGCAATGCTAACCACTGAGCCACTATGCTGCCCCTGCTGCATGAGAAAATCTATTTAACGTTATTGAGGTTTGTATTTGACCCCTAGGTGATAGTAACGTATGCACAAGGCTCAGATGGTTTCCCAGACCTAAAAATAACAGGAGTAAATATAAAAAATTAGCATGCTATTCATTAGTTTGCTTAGCATCTGATCACTTGATGAGTAAATCCAAGTACTAACAGTTTAATTTCGTTAAATAGTCCAAGCACACCTGCTTATTTTTCTGACGCAGTACAACTCTAAACTATGAAATTTCCTAGGTCATTTTATGAAGGGATACACATTCCAAGCAACACTATCTTTAACACACTGTACCAAACATTGATAAATTAGGAGCATTTGTAAGCTTGAAATTAGAGCTATTGAAAAGATAGCATATCAATTTAGTGATGTATACCAGAAGGAATTTAAAAGGCCAATTTATATCCAAGATAGGGAAATTGATAATGGCAAGTGAACACAAGTTCACATAGCTACAAGTGAGCAAAGTATTACATACTTGGATTGAACTATTGCCCTTGCTTTAACACCGAAGGGAAAAATTACAAAGAACTGTAATTCTTTTGTACACACTGACTGTTGTCTTCAAGGCATGCCAGATTGGTAACTAAAAGCAGTGCCTAATGACCTTACCCGTTACCACAATAAATCCCACCCAGAAATTTGAATACTAGTACCCACAAATCAAAAAGCAAAGTGCTTAGTCTTCAGGTTAGGAGAAAACTTTAATCGTATCGTTTCCACTAGAGAGAAAGTGGAAGAAAGAATACATGATCACCTTATGAGGAAAGGTTGGACAGACTGGGCTTGTTTCTGCAAATTTGGAAGAGGGAGGGGGTGATCTGATTGGAGTACTTAAATGCTGAATAGTCTTGACAAGGATAGACATGGAAATAATGTTCCCTTTATGGGGGAGTCCATAACGAATGGAGCACTGTTTAAAATTAGGTTTTTTCCCTTTCAGGATAAAGAACTTTTGAGTATTGACAGCCTCAGAACTCTGCCCCAGAGAGCAGTGGAAGCAGGGTCATTAAATATTTTTAAGGCAGAGGCAGATTGATTCCCTGACCTGATAAGAATCTCAGGTTATCCAAGCTGGTGGGAATGTACAATTCAAACAGATTCACCATGATCTTATTGAAAGACAGGGCAGGCTTGAGGAACTGAATGACCTGTTGCGACGAATGTTCATATAGATGTATCAGCAAGAAAAATTGCAAAAAGAGAGAGAAAAACACTAGATGTACACAGATACAAGGAGATAGTTTTGTTGGACTTGACTGAAGTTCGAGAACCTCTAATCTAGCTAACAAAGTGAAACAAAATGGATAAACACAGACTCTTGTTTCAGATGGTAAGTTAATAATAAAATTGCTAACCTGAAGAAACAGAGGGAACTGCTCGTGTGGTAGCAGTTGGCATGGATACACTCGCTGCACTCAGTCCAAGGCTGTTTGTAGTGTTTAGGTTGCTGGAGGCACTGACTGATGAGGTGGTGACTGTAGTAAATGTCAAAGCAGTGGAGAAAGTTTCAGAAGTCTGCAAACTGCTGTCAATGTTTGCGTGCTGTAAGCAAAAGATAAGTGAGCAGCACAGAAATCGGACAACTTCACAAAATCCATCATTCCCACTCTGCCTTTCTACACTCCTGCAGCCATTCCAGACAAGGATAGATATTGGATAAGTCTATAGTTAATTTCAGATCCTCCAAAAAGGTATCCAAGAGGCATCTATTGCTGATTTAAAACTACCAAGTGCAACGACCCCGTCCTCCTTTCTTACTAATATTCTGCCAAAGTGATCAATCATTAGCTTAAAATTTGAACCAGAAAGTCCATTCACAGTCAAGGTTCTGGCCATCTATGACCTTAATACAGACAAGTGAATCCTGGCATTGACAAACTTGGTCAACAAGTAACTGAAGAGATCCCCCAAAATAGCTATACTTTCTATGGTTTGTATCTGCAGAACTGCAAATGGCATGTAGTCACTGATTTATTCCTTTAGTATCCACTCCAAATTTACATTCTTTAGCATCTGCATCAAACAATCTTTTATCAGAAGTTGAGAAATTACAAAGTGAAACATCAACTCTCTACAGATGCTGCCAGACCTATGAAGTATTTCCAGTGTTTCATTTTTAAGAAATCAAAGGTGACAATATCTCCACTTAGTTAGCCCCCCTTCCAAAAGCTTCCAAGGATTTAGAAAATCTCTCTCAAACACGTTTTCAATGTTTTTTTAAAGCACCAATTCTCAGCTACCAACAATCTTACAGGTTACAAGTTCCAGGTCATGGCCACTAACTGTGTAAAAAAAAAAATAAGCTGCCAATCCCATCTACATTTTTAGCCCAAAACCCTATTCCATTACAGCTACACTAGTGCTTATACCATCAGCTAATGGAATCATGATTTCCTTGATCAATTTTAGTTACACATCCCATAAGCTCAAACTTCAGTCAAATCTACCATCATCTCCCATTGCTCAAAAAGAGAACAATCCAGCTTGTCTAATTCCTTGCCCCCATAATCATTTGGCAAATGTGTGTCCTTGAAAAGAGATCTGTACAACTTTTCTAAAATGTGACAACTAGAACCGGAAACACTGCGGAAGCCGAGCAACGACTTCATTCAAATACTGCATTACTTTTCTGCTTCTGTGCATAATGCCTTCAGTTAATGAAGCCCAGGCAGTATGCACTTTGCTAATTAATCAAAGTCCCCTCTGTTTCACTGAATCACAAACCTATGCACGTGCCTGAAATCCTCTTATTCCTGTTCTTTTTTGGAAATGTGCCATGAAATTGGCTTGACTGTCCCTATTCCTTCTATCAAAATGTATCACCTCATGCTTCTATTAAATTTCATATGATACTTATCTGCCCATCTACTCCATGTCCTTTCATAGTCTATTTGGTATCAATTTTGGTGCCATGTTGAAATTTTAAATTCCAACATTCAAGTAATTCACATACATCAAAACACAGCTGTCCAAGCACTGACCCTTGGCAAGCTGTTTACCATTCTGTTGGGTGAAAAACAACCATTGATTAAATTCTATTGCATCCTTAAGTCCATTTTAATCCAAACTAAGTGAGCTCTTCTCCTATGAGCTTCAACTTTGTCTATCAACCTTTCGTGACACTCTTTCCAATGCTTTCTAAAAAAGGATGTAGACCACATCTGTTGCATTATTTCCCTCAACCTTTGCTATTTCAAAATATTTTAATTAGCTAGGTCAAGCACAAAATCGCATACAATCCTGTGCTGGATAGCCTCGAACCTCGTGAACGTTATCTTTTCTGTTTCTAAAACCTGAATCAGAACTGATGTGAAACTGATTAGCTTGTATTTACTAACAATCTTCCTTTCAATGACAGTCACATTTGCCCTTCAATCCTGTGATGCCCCCTCTGTAAATGAAGGCAAATCAGAAGTTTTTGGCAAGCCTTTCTGAAATCTGCAACATTGTCATTTGGCAATCTTGGGTACAAATCATCAGGACCAGGCTACCTATCAATTTAAGTGTAAAACATCTTTCCAATGCTTCCTGCTCATCAATTCTCCCATCAGTACCTCTTATTTTGTCATTAAGTTTCCTCTATATATACCATTACATAAAATCCTCTTCATTAACCTGATACAAAGTACTTATTTAGATATTCTAGTCTCATTCTGCAACTCTAACCACAAATCTCTCAGTCAATCCCTAATGGGAGCCACCCCACCTCTTATTACCTATTTACTATTAGCATGGTAGGAGATTTCTGGGTTTCCTCCAACATTAACTGCCATTCTGTACTCATTTTCTTTGCCAGTTATATCATCCTCACTTTAACTTGGTTCTCGATTGAAAATTTGCAGATATACATTTACATATCAATATGAAGAAACATTCTGCACCTCCCTCATGAATCAAATTATCCAGGTTTTGGCTCTGCTACCTTTTCACCCGTGTCAGAATACACCTAAACCCGCACTTTCCCTTTAAAACAATACCACCCTTTGTTTAGTTACTATTTTTCCCCCATTCTGGAATTCTATTTTACCCTGGCTCCATTCCTTATTCCATTTTTCAACTTTTCAAACTCAACTCTGCCAAGATTCTGAAGCCCTCTCTCCCACACTGTGTCTCAAACTACCCCATCCCCTGTTAGGAGATAAATGCAATGCTTAAGGGCAACAACAAAAACTCAAATCATTAACATACTTACTGCATTGGGTGAGCTTGTAGACAGAGAAGAGGCAGGAGTAAGGCTGCTGCTTTGGTGGTTTGGCAAGGAACTGCATTAAAAAAGAGGTCCCAATAAATCACTCCCCAAAGTATAATCAAAATCTCAACTGACATCCAATCAGCTCCTTGAGTAAACAATCCTGTGCATAATTTTTTCTTAGACAACAAGGTGCAGGGCTGGATGAACACAGCAGGCCAAGCAGCATCATAGGAGCAGAGAGGCTGACGTTTCGGGCCTAGACCCTTCATCAGAAAAAGGGGGAGGGGAAGGGGGTTTTGAAATAAATAGGGAGAGAGTGGGAGGCGGATAGAAGAGGGATAGAGGAGAGGATAGGTGGAGAGGAAACAAACAGGTCGAAGAGGCGGGGATGGAGCCAGTAAAGGTGAGTGTAGGTAGGGAGTTAGGAAGGGGATAGGTCAGTCCAGGGAGGACGGACAGGTCAAGGGGGCGGGATGAGGTTGGTCGGTAGGAGATGGAGGTGCGGCTTGAGGTGGGAGGAGGGGATAGGTGGGAGGAAGAACAGGTTAGGGAGGCAGGGACGAGCTGGACTGGTTTTGGGATGCGGTAGGGGGAGGGGAGATTTTGAAACTTGTGAAATCCACATTGATACCATTGGGCTGCAGGGTTCCCAAGCGGAATATGAGTTGCTGTTCCTGCAACCTTCGGGTGGCATCGTTGTGGCACTGCAGGAGGCCCAGGATGGACATGTCGTCTGAGGAATGGGAGGGGGAGTTGAAATGGTTCGCGACTGGGAGGTGCAGTTGTTTATTGCGAACCGAGCGTAGGTGTTCTGCAAAGCGGTCCCCGAGTCTCCGCTTGGTTTCCCCGATGTAGAGGAAGCCACACCGGGTACAGCGGATGCAGTATACCACATTGGCAGATGTGCAGGTGAACATCTGCTTGATGTGGAAAGTCTTCTTGGGGCCTGGGATGGGGGTGAGGGAGGAGGTATGGGGGCAGGTGTAGCACTTCCTGCGGTTGCAGGGAAAAGTGCCGGGTGTGGTGGAGCTGGAGGGGAGTGTGGAGCGGACAAGGGAGTCACGGAGAGAGTTGTCCCTCCGGAAAGCAGATAAAGGTGGGGAGGGAAAGATGTCTTTGGTGGTGGGGTCGGATTGCAGATGGCGGAAGTGTCGGAGGATGATGCGTTGGATCCGGAGGTTGGTGGGGTGGTACGTGAGGACGAGGGGGATTCTTTTTTGGTTTTTATTGCGTGGACGGGGTGTGAGGGATGAGGTGCGGGAGATGTGGGAGACACGGTTGAGGGCGTTCTCGACCACCGAGGAGGGGAAGTTACGGTCCTTGAAAAACGAGGACAACTGAGATGTACGGGAGTGGAATGCCTCATCCTGGGAGCAGATGCGGCGGAGGCGAAGGAATTGGGAATAGGGGATAGCATTTTTGCAGGAAGGTGGGTGGGAGGAGGAGTATTCTCGGTAGCTGTGGGAGTCGGTGGGCTTGAAATGAATATCGGTTTCTAGGTGGTTGCCCGATATGGAGACAGAGGGGTCCAGGAAGGCGAGAGAGGTGTTAGAGATGGTCCAGGTAAACTTAAGGTTGGGGTGGAAGGTTTTCTTGTTTTGCAGGAAAACAATGACGCACTGCTTATAATTCTCTCTCATTTAATAAGAGATTACATGTAAAAGTTATCTGCCTTTAAAGTGAGAGAAACAAGAAGCAGAAGGCTAATTTTCTCAGCTCAGGTGAGATATTGAACTATCGATGTACAGCAATGTTCCCATTTGAACTCTTAACCACCGAAAAAAATCCACAATAAGGTACATTGAAATTCAGACAGCAGATACTTCTTCCAAAACATTTTACAAATTGAAGTCTTGCTTTGCTATGATCCCAGTTGATGGTAATACTGGACAAGTCAGATCCCAGAATGAAACCTGGCTTAATAGATCACATTTAAATTTTTTGCTGTTGGTTGACATAAGCAGTCAAACAGTGACACAAAGTGATAGTTCCATACAATGCAAAGAAATTAAAGCTACGATCATGATCCATAGCTCCGGGTTATTGAAAAAACAGGGCCAGTGAAAATTTGGATTTTCAGAATGGATTTGACAAGGTACGATACTTTAGGCTACTTAAGTAAAGAGCCTATGGGATTCGGAGTTTTATATTAGCGTGGATAGAGGATTGATTGACTAACAGTAGACAGACACCAAAAGAACTGCAGATGCTGTAAATCAGAAAAAAAAAAGTAGTTGCTGGAAAAGCTCAACAGGTCTGGCGGCATCTCTGAAGAGAAAGCAGAGTTAACGTTTCAGGCGTTGACTCTGCTTTCTCTTCACAGATGCTGCCAAACCTGCTGAGCTTTTCCAGCAACTTCTGTCTACTGTTGGGGTTGGGAGAAAGGGGACTTTTTAGGATGGCAATCTACATCTAGTAGAATGCCACAGGATCAGTGCTGGGCCACAATTATTTACAGCATGTATTAATAACATGGATGAGGAAAATGAATGTACAATAGCTAAGATTGCAATTGACAAATAGGTGGGAAGGCAAGTGGTATGAATGACAAAGTGTCCGTAGAGAAATACAGACAAGTTAAGCAAGTTGGCAAAAAGCTTGGTAGATGGAATATAATGTGGGAAAATGGGAGGTCATATTTTGGCAGAGAAGATAGAGGAGCTAGCATTATTTAAATGGAGAAAGACTGCAGAAAGCTACAGGAGAGAGATCTGGAACTTCCCTGTGCATAAATCACAAAAAGCCAGCATCCAAATTCAGCAGATAATTGGGAAGCCAAATGGAACATTGGGTGATTCTCGCCCCCCATCACCTCCAAAAAAGGGATGTAATACAAAAATAGGCAAGTCTTGCTAAAACTACACAAGGCATTAGTAGGTCTACAACTTTAACACTGAGCGGTTTTGGGCCCCTTATTTAAGTAAAATATACTGGCATTGGAGGCAGTCTACAGAAGGTTCTCCAGACTGATTCCAGGTATGGAAGGTTAGTATTAAAGGAAAAAAGAGAGGTTGAGCCTGTACTCTCTGCAGTACAAAATGAAAGGTGATCTTATTAAAACATAGATTATTAGGGGACTTTGGCAAGTTAGGTGCAGAAAGGCTGTTTCCCTTTCTAAGAATATGGGGTGGTCTTATTTATGCCTCAACTCCACCTCCTGTCCATTCTCCATTACCCTTCAACACATTATTAATTAGAAAACCTGTCCATCTCCACCTCAAAAATTCACTCAATGACCTGGCATCAAATACACTCTGCAGTAGTGAATTCCAGATTCATGACCCTTTGAGGGAAGTAATTACTCATGTTTTAAACCTGCTGCCCCTTATCCTAAAGCTATGATCTCTTGCCCTAGATCGCCCTACAAGGAAACATCCTTTGCACATCTACTTTGTCGATCTCCTTGAGCATTTTATATACCTCAATCAATTCTGTCATTCTTCTAAACCCCAGAAAGTATAGGCCTAAACTGCTCAATCTCTGCTCCATTTTAAGATAAATAAGGAGGAATTTCTTCTGAGGTTAGTGAATTTCTCAAATGCTTTACTGAGGAAGACTGTAGAGGTTGAGTCATTAATTGAATTCATGGCGGAGATAGATTTTTAAATCAGCAAGAGAATCAAGGGTTATAGGGATAAGGTAAATAGAAAGTATAAAGTAGAATTAAGGATTGAGCCCTGGAGACATTACAGAACCCTTCCAATTTGACCACAAGCAACTTTATTCCAATTACAATGCTGGATAGCCAAAATTCCCCCATAACATTCCCTATTGCACAGCTTTCCTTCACTGATTAAACAATAAGGAACAATGATCCACATGGAAATATATCACTTCTCCAGTGTCACTGGGTCAAAATCCTGGCACTCTCTCCTTAACTGCAATGATCACCAAATTGACTGCAGCAGCTCAAGAGACAGTTCACCACCAACAGCAACAAGGGATAGGTAGTTAATACTGGCCTAAACAGGGAAACATCCCATGAACGAATAAAGGAAACTTCAATTATATAACAGATCCATTACGTATTCATTCCAGTGTATTGAAAAGTACTTTAACCAGATCCCTAAAGCTGGTCTCCTTTGCACAACCACATCTCCTTCCAGTGAAAACAATGTCTGGATTCCAGTCTCACCTCAGATTAAGGTTCAGGTGTGGCCAGGCCAAGTCCTTGCACTATAAATAATGTGTTAACATTACCTAGTACAGTCTGGCAGAGACACGAGGCCAAATGGAAAAAGGTAACAGGTAATGGTTAAATTGAGGGATGCATATAATTCACATATAATTAGTGGGGTGGGAGTTAGCGGCATGAGTTGAAATAAAACGAACTAGAAAATCATATTCCTGGATTCTGCCTAATCAACATTTAACCTCTGTTGTGGGTTCCCATTTAATTTTCTCCTTAATGAGACCCACAACTCTTTAAACAGCATCTCATTCACTCCCCTCCATCCTTCATCCTTCATAAACACTACATCCACGCTAGGGAATGCCTCATGCATTTTGCTTCAATTTATCAAGGTAAACCAGTGTTCCAAGCAAAAATTGACAACTGTTCAGATACCTACGTGCTAAGTTGTGAAAGAGAACTGCTGGACAATTCGATGGCCGGGTTCAGACTTGACAAACTAGCTGAATGTTGTGATACCGTAGGCAGAAGAGAAGCAGTAGACACTCCAGTAGGTAGTGGATTCACACTTGACAAAGATTGCGATTCAGCAGATTTCACAGTGGGACAAATTGTAGCTGGGTGGGGGGGAAGAAAAGAAGTTTCCATCTGTAGTATTTTTTGCCTGCAATTACAAGTTGCTTCACAAAAATTAAAATGTAATTCAAAAATAGTCCTAGTAATCAATAAAATGGTTGCATCTTTTAAAATGACTTGAGAAATAAAAAATATTAAAATCAGTCACAATTACGTTGATAACTGGTCCATTTAAAAAGATCACTAACTACAAGTTAGTTGGGGCGCAGAACGCAAAGTCTAGAAATGTATGAGGGGGGTTCAATTCAGGCATTCAAAATGGCATTGGATGATTATTTGGACAGAAACAGTATGCAAGTGGTGGGGTGCGTGGTAGAAGGAAGGGCAAGAGAAAAAAAGCACCGACTAGTATTAGGTAATAGAGCCAGAGCAGACACGATGGGTTGAAGAGCCTCCTTCTGCACTGTAACCATTTGGTTACACTGTAATCAATCAATAACATAAGCAATCAATTCATTAACTCTCATGAAGCCTGCCCAACTAATTTACTACAGCTACAAAAATAGGCGACAACACATTTTCAAAAACTGAAAATTGCAAGCTACATGCATTTTCATCAAATTATTGGGAGTTTTCAATGTTTTCGTATCCTAGTGATACAATGCCTACAAGATAACATACTCGGTGGCACCCAAAAATGCTTTTCCATGCAACTCCAGACACACAGTAAAGTGGCTGACTCTTAACTGCCCTCTGGGCAATGAGGGATGGGCAATAAATATGGCCTCGCCAGAGATGCCCACATCCAGCAAGTAAAACAAAACATTTCCAGAATCCCACTGCCCTCTGGGCAAAAAATTTTGTTTTCCCACACCCTGCTACCTTCACCTTAAAATTCTGCCCTCTTGACTCTTCAACTAAAGGGAACAACTGCTTCCAACCTAGCTCGTCCATGCCCCTCAATCAGGTCTCCACTCAGCCTTCACTGCTCTAAACAAAACAAATTGCGCTTATCAAGCCTCGTCATAGCTGGAATGCTGTAGCTCAGGTAACATCCTGGTGAATCTCCTCAACAACTCCTCCAGTGCAATCACATCTCTTCTTTCGTTAGGTTACCAGAACTGCACGTAGTACTCCAGCTGTGGCCTAACCAAAGTTTTATACAGCTCTAAAACAGCATCCCTGCTCTTATAATCTACGCCAAAACCAATAGAGGCAAGTGTCCCAATATGCCTTAACAATGCTATTAACCTCCCCTGCCTCCTTCAGGGATCTGTGGCTAAGCAGCCCTAGATATCTGTTCCTCTGAGCGCCCTACAGTCCTACCATTCTTAGTGTCCCTCATCTTGTTATTTCTTCCAAAGTGCATCACCTCACATGTACCAGGACTAAATTCCATCTCTCACTGATCTGCCCACTGACCATCTACCCTTCCTGAAATCCATGACATTCTTCCACACTATTAGCCACCCGGCCAATTTTCATGTCATCAGAAAACTTAAATTATCAAGAATCTATTTATATCAGCCTTAAATATACAACAGGACTCCAGACCTATTCTTTGCCACAGAGAACTCAGGAAGAAATATTCAACCCCTCAAGAAATTCCTCTTCATCTCAGTCTTAAATTAGTACTCTACCATTTGGTCCCAAATTCTCCCATGGCGGGGGAGGGGGGGCGGTGGAGGGAAACAGTATTTAACCCTGTCAAGTCCCGTAATAATCCTACATGTTTCAATGAGATCATCTCTCATTCTTCTAAACACAAGTGCACCGAGCCCCAACCTGCTTAGCATTGACTCAGAAGTTCTCTCTGACAAGCTGTGCCGACCATCCCTGATCAAAATCTTTACTTGGAAAGGCAAGTTAATTCTCTGCTTCAAAATTTTCTCCAATTTTTTCTCAGCACTGATGACAGACTCACTGGTCTGCAATTCCCTATTTTATCTTTAGCACCTTTCTTGAAAGGTGGAACCATATTAGCTGTCCTCCAGTCCTCTGGCACCTTCACTGTTGCCAGACAGGAATTAAAAATTTGGGTCAAAACTTCTCTAATTCTCTCCCTTACCTCCCACAATAGCCTGAGATACAACTGGATCTGGGAATTTGTCCACTAAGTCCACCAAAATCACCAATACCTCCTCAGTCTCAATGGTAACTGTTTAAGGACTCCAACCCCCTTGGAATTCTGTACCTACAAATTTCTTCTCCAAAATGAAGACAGATGTGAAGTACTCATTTAACACCCTGCCAACGTCCTCCAGTTCTTGGCACAGGCCGCCTCCTTGGCTCCCAAAAAGGGCCTCTCCCTGGTTACCCCTTTACACTCCAAATGCTTCTACTGCATAGAAACATGACCTGCTGTGATTTTTCATGACCCTCTTTGCTCTAATTGCTTTAAGTTCTCCCCTGTAGTTTCTGCACACTGACCAGATCCTGTCCAAAAACTTGCCTACGTGCTATCCAAAACAGGTTTTTGCAAACCCTCTTTTTTAACCTTTTCCAAAACTAACTTGAATCTTACTGTATTGCGGCTGTCGTCACCAAAATGTTTCCCCATTGTCACCTCATTATCACCTGTCCAGCTTCACACCCCACAATTAGGTTCAGCACTGTGCAGTTCCTTCTTGAATCTTCTACATGTTGATAATAAAAGTTCTCTTGGATACATTAAGAAATCTTCCCATTCTAAACCCTTTATTTGAGATAATCAAAATGTAATGTTGGAGCAGTTCAAATCCCATCATTGCCCTATTATTTTCACACACCTCAGGTGAATTGTCAACATATTTGATCCTCCATTGCCTGTGGACTATTTGTGGGTCTATAATACACTCCTAGCAATGTGACTGCACAGTTTTTGTTCATTCCTAAACTCTACCCACAAAGCCTCATTTGCACACCCTTCCAAGATATTGTCACTCCTTACTGCAGTCATTGACTCCTTAATGCAACTCCAGCTCCTCTTTCACCTTGCCACCAAGCCTGAAAATCCTGTACTCTGGAATACTGAGTTGCCTGTCATGCCCCTACCTTAACACATCGGATTGCAACAGCATAATTCCACCTATCAAACCATTCCCTTAACTCGTGTCAATTTATAATTCTGCTAATACGAGAGGTTACCCAGCCTTGCCTTAATCCCCCAAAATTCAACATGACTGAATTCCAGTTGTGACTCATTTACTAGAGAATGCTGTGTCCCTGTTGTAATAATGCCTTATAACCCCTTCTCCCACCCAACTAGTTCAAATTTCTCCCAACGGGACTAGAAACACACTCGCAATGTTGAGAGGGGTCACATTGCAGTTCAAGTGGAGACCAGGATGAACAGGAAGGTAATGCGCAAGTCCTGTTCACAAATCAATTGTGATTTTGGCAGCTGATACGGGTGCTGGTTCAAGGGAATGCAGACAGAGACAAGCTTCACAAGCAGCCTGACTCTTTAAAAAAAGGAGGAAGAGGAAACCAGGAGCAATAGTGATAAGGGATTCATTAGCTGTGGAAACAGACAGGCATTTGTGCGGTCACAAATGACTCCAGAATGACAATGTTTCCTCCCTGGAGCCGGTATTAGGGATGTCACTGAAAGACTGCAGGGCATCCCAAAGCACGTGGTGGTCAGCCAAAGATTGCGGTACATGTTGGTACCAAAGTTGAATTGGCAGAAGGGATGAGGTTTTGCTCACAAATTCATGGACCCAGGCAGATTAAGGAGGACCTCAAAAGTTATAAACCTCCAGGGACTGAATAGGCTGTGTTCATTCTCCCCGGAGCAGAGGAGACTGAGGGGAGATTTGATTTAGGGATACAAAATTGAAAACCATAGGTGGGCTAGTTCGAGAGAATCGTTTCCCCGCATCCAAGACAAGTCTAAGACCAGCGATCAAAAGTCTAATGTGAGGAGTAAGTAGTTTAGAGGAATTGGAGGAAAAATGTTTTCACCCAAAAGGGTGGAAGAACTATGGAACATGCTACCTGAGTGGGGGGAGCTGGAGGTAGGCATTCTTGCAACATTTAGACAGCATCTGGGCAAGCACTTAAAATGCCAGGGCATAGTAGGCAATGGACCAAGTGCAGGTAAATGGGATTAGTATAGTTTGGCATTTATTGGTCACCTTAGACATGATTGGCCAAAGGGCTTGTTTCTATGCTGTTTAACTGATTTCCAGTGCCATTTGATGGCAAGTACAGAAATAGGAGACTAGGGCAGAAGAATGCGTGGCTCAAGAGTTGGTGCAGATGGGAGGGTTTTAGATTCTGGATCATCGGGACTGCTTCCTGGTGCTTTGCCAGATGTGCTAAACTTCTCTCTAAACATGCCAGCCATAACACACAGCCTTGCCGATGTGCCAGGTGACTCTCGTCGCCATTTAAGCTTCAAAATCCGAAGCTCAAATTTCGGCAGGTGGAAGGGCTTCCACAAAGAAAGTCAGCTAAGACGGCAGTCGGGTCCATGGCTTCCCACACATGACAAGTCACATTCCACTTGGTTGACTTCACTTGACTTGAACTTAATTTTGTTGACTTTTCTAATACTCAGCCTGAAACATACTCCCCTTATCTTAATCCCACTCTCTTATTAAACTTTGGCCTATTTATCATATTATTCATCCCAGTACGACAAGCTGACATTTTCTCATCCCTGGTGTTTCAGTTAATTCTTTAATAATATACTTTTCTAATTTACTGCTATTTAAAGACAAATGGCTGTTCCTTAACAGCTAATCAACTCACCGCTTTCTTGTGATGTCACTGATTTATTTCCCCCCAATTCAGTTTCAAGCAGCCGAATCTAACTATTGCCTCAGAGTGCCTGGCAAGTATAGGCCTCAGTCCTTCAGCTGCAAATTTATACTCACCTGCTTGATATCTTCCTACACAGCTCCAGTGCTGCCTCCACATCCCTAGTAACAGTAATGTTAGGGGAAAAACTACATAACCTTAAAATGAAAAAGGTCTGGCTATACTTCTGATTTGAAAAATTGTGCTCACTTAAGTTATAAAACTCCACACATACACTCCACTGTTCAAATGGGGCATGGTCACGTATCCTCTCGCACGCACGTACATACTAATTCTGGAAGCCTTTCTTGGCTGACTTAAACAAGAGAACCAATTCCAAGTTGCCAAAGATACTTACACAGAAAAATATTGGCCAAAGACAGAAGTGTTAAATTTGATAGACGTTATTCTTAAACGTGTGCTTGCAATATTTGAGATGTGATCTTATTCAAATACATAAGATGGGTTAACAGAAATGACAATTTTACTAACCCAACAAGAGTGAAGAGGAAGTATTGTTCAAGGTCTCATTTAAAGGGGCTACAGTTTGAGAAATTCATTTTGAACTACCGTTCGACACACAAAGGGAAACCAAAACAAGTAGTATTACAATGTTACAGGTTAATATTCACAATTTTAAAACTCACCTTCAAGTGTCTGTTGTGTCCCAAGGCCATTCTGTAAACAAAAGACAATTGTTTGACTGGTTTTGTACAAATATCTTACATCATGGAACAAACTATTTGCTGCTCATCTAAAAAGGGAAAGCAAAACACTAGATGCTGCCACTCAATGTTTTTCTAAAAAAAAGACAAAACTGTTATGGATCATTGAGGCTACAGAAAAGATCGGATACATATCAATTTGACTTCCTAAAGCAGTTAAAAAGTAAGCTTCATACAGCATAGAGCAGGGAGGAAGTGGTCGAGCGAGGGAACTGTGGTTTACTAAAGAAGTTGAATCTCTTGTCAAGAGGAAGAAGGAGGCTTATGTAGAGATGAGGCGTGAAGGCTCAGTTAGGGCGCTTGAGAGTTACAAGTTAGCCAGGAAGGACCTAAAGAGAGAGCTAAGAAGAGCCAGGAAGGGACATGAGAAGTCTTTAGCAGGTAGGATCAAGGAAAACCCGAAAGCTTTCTATAGGTATGTCAGGAATAAAAGAATGACTAGAGTAAGATTAGGGCCAGTCAAGGACAGTCATGGGAAGTTGTGCGTGGAGTCCAAAGAGATAGGAGAGGCGCTAAATGAATATTTTTCATCAGTATTCACACAGGAAAAAGACAATGTTGTCGAGGAGAATACTGAGATACAGGCTATTAGACTAGACGGGATTGAGGTTCATAAGGAGGAGGTGTTAGCAATTCTGGAAAGTGTGAAAATAGATAAGTCCCCTGGGCCGGATGGGATTTATCCTAGGATTCTCTGGGAAGCTAGGGAGGAGATTGAAGAGCCTTTGGCTTTGATCTTTATGTCGTCATTGTCTACAGGAATAGTGCCAGAAGACTGGAGGATAGCAAATGTTATCCCCTTGTTCAAGAAGGGGAGTAGAGACAACCCTGGTAATTATAGACCAGTGAGCCTCACTTCGGTTGTGGGTAAAGTGTTGGAAAGGATTATAAGAAATAGGATTTATAATCATCTAGAAAGGAATAATTTGATTAGGGATAGTCAACATGGTTTTGTGAAGAGGAGGTCATGCCTCACAAACCTTATTGAGTTCTTCGAGAAGGTGACCAAATAGGTAGATGAGGGTAAAGTGGTTGATGTGGTATATATGGATTTCAGTAAAGTGTTTGATAAAGGTTCCCCACGGTAGGCTATTGCAGAAAATACGGAGGCATGGGATTAAAGGTGATTTAGCGGTTTGGATCAAAAATTGGCTAGCTGTAAGAAGACAGAGGGTAGTGGTTGATGGGAAATGTTCATCCTGGAGTTCAGTTACTAGTGGTGTACCGCAAGGATCTGTTTTTGGGCCACTGCTGTTTGTCATTTTCATAAATGACCTGGATGAGGGCGTAGAAGGATGGGTTAGTAAACTTGCAGATGACACTAAAGTCAGTGGAGTTGTGGATAGTGCGGAAGGATGTTGCAGGTTACGGAGGGACATAGATAAGTTGCAGAGCTGGGCTGAGAGGTGGCAAATGGAGTTTAATGCGGAAAAGTGTGAGGTGATTCACTTTGGAAGGAGTAACAGGAATACAGAGTACTGGGCTAATGGTAAGATTCTTGGTAGTGTGGATGAGCAGGGAGATCTCGGTGGTCATGTGCATCAATCCCTGAAAGTTGCCACCCAGGTTGCTAGGGTTGTCAAGAAGGCGTACAGTATGTTAGGTTTTATTGGTAGAGGGATTGAGTTTCAGAGCCACGAGGTCGTGTTGCAGCTGTACAAAACTCTGGCGCGGCCGCACTTGGCGTATTGCATACAGTTCTGGTCACCGCATTATAGGAAGGATGTGGAAGCATTGGAAAGAGTGCAGAGGAGATTTACCAGGACGTTGCCTGGTATGGAGGGAAGTCTTATGAGGAAAGGCTGAGGGTATTGAGGCTGTTTTCGTTAGAGAGAAGAAGGTTAAGAGGTGACTTAATAGAGACATACAAGATGATCAGAGGATTAGATAGGGTGGACAGCGAGAGCTTTTTTCCCTCAGATGGTGATGGCTAGCACGAAGGGACATAGTTTTAAATTGAGGGGTGATAGATATAGGACAGATGTCAGAGGTAGGTTCTTTACTCAGAGTAGTAAGGACGTGGAATGCCCTGCCTGCAACAGTAGTAGACTCGCCAACTTTAAGGGCATTTAAATGGTCATTGGATAAACATATGGATGATAATGGAATAGTGTAGGTTAGATGGGCTTCAGATTGGTTTCACACGTCGGCGCAACATCGAGGGCCGAAGGGCCTGCACTGCGCTGTAATGTTCTATGTTCTTTTTGAAAACAGGATTTTTATAATTCAGCTTGAAGACAATGCAAATATGAGGTGGAGGCACAGGGGGGCAGCAGGACAACTGCAGGTTGTTTAACCTGAGGGTCACTGCACCTGAGCAAGGGGAGAGGCTGAGGAGAGTCTTTAGATTGTAACCTCAGCCAGTGCCTGAATTGAACCCCTGCCATTGGCATCACTCTGCAATGCAAGCCAATTGTCCAGTTACCTAAGCTGACAGATCCCCCACCCCACTATAAAGATTCGTAGGAGTTCAATTCATAGCCACAGAGTAGACTCCATTTGCAAAGAGAAAGAAGTCTAAATAAACAAATGAACCTAGTTCCAAGCAAAAATTTGTAAGATTTGCTAACTTGTTCAATGACTGCACTACAGTAAAGGGAATTCCAAGTTACTGATGAGAATGGAAGGACAAATCCAGCTATACCAAGGTTGATCGAGAAGCAGATTACTGGTATAATCGTTGTAAAATAACGTTCATGAGTTGTGTGCATCACTGGCTAACCTTGCACGTATTACCCCTCCCAAATTGCCGGCAGTCAGCTGCCTTCTTGAGCTACTGCAGTCCTGGAATTTTAGGGACATTTGCTGATAGAGATTTTGACAGCAGTGATGGACTTGTGATGTAGTTTCAAATCAGCTTGCAGCATAAAACTTTCAGGTGATAGCATCTCTACACATCTGCTGCCCTTGTCCTTCAAGTTGGTGGAATTTCTGTGATGTGATGTGGAGGTGCTGGTGTTGGACTGGGTTGGACAGGATCAAAACAAAATCAAACACCAGGTTACAGTCCAACAGGTTTACTTGAAAACACAAGCTTTCAGAGCATATCCCCTTCAACAGGTGAAGTGAGAAAGAAGCACACAGAGCACAGAATTTACAAGTAAAAGATCAAAGGGTCACACCAACGAGGAGGTACTAAATGAACCTAAGATGCTGTTAAATCTTTAATCAATTAAAACCTTCTCACTGATTAACGTGTGTATGTAAATCCCCGAATTTCTTTGGGTCACTGCCCTGAGAGAACTAAAAGTTTTATCATTGTAAAGTGACATTTCAGCTGAGACAATGTATGTTAGGTGTAAGGACTTGTTTTGAATCTGGTGTGTTTCAGTTTGGAGTCAAACTGGTTTCTAAGGTTCTAGTTTCTAGTTTTGGAAAGAGCTTTTGGAGGAGTGTTGGTGAGTTACTGCACTGCACCTTGTAGACAGTACACACTGCTGACACTGCATCAGTGAAGGTTGAACATGGTAGATGGGGTGCCAATCAAGCAGGCTATTTTGTCCTGCATGATGCCAAGTATATATGATGCTGCTTGGCCTGCTGTGTTCGTTCAGCTCTACACCTTGTTATCTCATCTCACAGCCAACCTTTTTTTAATATATTAACTTGTGGGACACAAGTATCACTAGCGGGCCTGCACATTAACTGCTTGTCTGTAGCTGGCCTTCTAAAGGTAATGATCTGCTGTCTTGACTCACTGCAGTCCATGTACTGTAGGTAGGTAGGTAAGTTCACAACACTGTTAGGGAGAGATTTCCAGGATTTTGATCAAATGACTTAAGGAAGGGCAATATATTTCCAAGTCAGAACGTGCTTCTCATTTCTCATTTTAGGAACATATTTGCCTTGAAAGGTTAACCTTGCTCACTACTTTTCTGACTTGTCTGTTTCCTAGTCCACTTACGCTTCCAAAGTCCTGTATCATCTTCCGTACAAGACTGAATGTAACATTTGTTGAGAACTTGGCATGTGATAGCATAGTTTTCATTTCCAGCTTGTCCAAGTGTTAGGAATACACTTTTTATTTTTAAGAAGAACTATGAGGAACTTGAATAAGGAACTGTTTAGACATCATGGATTGAAAGGGTTTGAAGGACACGATTTCTTGGGGTTGTATTCAGCAGTAATTACTGAAGTCAAAAGTTTAATGTGGGTTCTTAGCACTTGATGTTTAACTGGAAGTCAAGTAACCTTGAATAGCAGACAAGCAAAGCTATTAAGAGAAAAAGATGCATTTTTATGGTTTTCATTATGGATAGACCGACTTGGGGGGGGGGGGGGGCCTGTGCTCAAGGCCACCTAGCAACAGCCTCTGAACGAGAACTGCAGTTTCAGAACACTACCTAAAGGTGCATCAGGTGAAAAAACAAATCTCCAAGAGCTTGGTCTTAAAGATGAATTGGAGATTGCTCCTGAAAAGAAGAAAACTTTACAGCATGACAAATTACAGATCGCATCTTCTAGGAACCTGAGAAATCAGGTCCAGAAAGCAGTATCTTTAACTTACTCAAATTGAAAACTTAAGTGTTACTTTCATTCAAAAGCCAAGATCGAGCCAACCTTCCATCTGAACAAGTCTGGCTTGAAGATCTCATTGATTCTCTAGTGGTCAGCATGTCAGTCTCTGACAGGAAAATTGACTGGACCTAAAGAAGTCTTTTCACTTCAAAATCCTTTGAATTTGGATGCGTGGCCCACTGGAGTGTGTTGTTCCCACTTACCTTCCCTTCAAAACCCACAACTCTACAGATTTGTAATGGCTTATCTGTTTGTGCGAATGAGTGCATTAGTATAACTGAACTAATAGTCAGTTTTTCCACTTCTTATGGTTGTTAGAACATGTTGCTTTACATTTAAGAAAGTTTATTGAAGGAACTTGGTAAAAACGTGGAACCTGTATCCTAGGTAAGAATTATGAGAGACAAACTGAGTATTCAGGTGGTCAAATTAAACTTTTACATTACTCCTTCACAAGCCGTGTGCAAGTAGTGAGGTTTGATTACCAAAGCACTCCTCCACTTAGAACCATATCACAGGAAACTGTTGTGTAACCTCCCACATTGCACTACTTAAGATACAAGCCATCTTCATGCCTATACCCTCTCCTCCCCATCCCCAAGGCGGCATTTCTCTCCTTAACCATAAGCTTAACAGGCCTTAGGAAAATATGAATGAAAAATTTTATTTCAAAGAAATTCATTCAGTCACCTGTGAGGAAGCTTCCTTTTGAGATGATGAACTAAGGGAGTTCTGGTAAGATATTCCATGCGCTGAACTCTGATCAACTGTTGAAGTCACTGGAGTAATCTGAGCAGTTGTTGAGCTGCAAGAGCTGATGGAAGATGGATCTGTTGATTCTTGAACTGCACTTGATATTGACAAAAACTGTGACATCGAATCACTAAATTATGGAATGAAATTCAATGTTGCACATTAGCGACTGAAGATAAACTTGTATAAACATATCCATTCCTAAAAAGGTAATTTGGTATTTTATCAACTTAATTGCAATTGCTGACAAAGGTAGTATGCTGAAACTTGTGTCTTGCACTTAAAATTTCCAAGGGAGCAACAAATTATACCGTACGAGTGAAAGGACATTAATTACTTGTATTCTCCATGGCAACACACTCAAGCAGAATAAGTTTTTTGACCTCTTTGAAATAGGACATTGTTTTGTAATCACGAAGGCAAACAAAGATTTCAGAACCTGGTTTTCAGAGATGGAAATGCTATACTGTCAAGCAATTGCAATTCATTATTAGGTCAAAAGATACTTAAGAATAAACAACTGCAATTTTTTTTAAAAAAGATCACTTTCTCCCAATTGCTTTTCTTCCACATTTTTAGGTTTCTCTCACCTTAGCAAACCTGTTAGAGAGAGGGCACTGATAGGAGATACTAGAATGCAGCTTGCACTTTTTAAAATCTACTTCTTCTTTGTTACTGGGAAGCATCCAAAATGGTTAGCAAAGCTGATGCTGCAAATCACTGTCGGTGGAGGCTGGAGAAGGACAAAACAGTTTTATCTTACCTTACAGAATTTGAGAACAAGTGACTTTGTGCCTGGTTGATGGTCTCCTTGCTTCCTGTTCCAAATTCAGACAGAGATGGTTCTGATCCAAACTCTAAGGCTCCAAACTGAACATTCAATTCAGAGACATTAATTGACCCTGGCATTTCAACAGCAGATGCAGGAATCTAAATGGAAAGAAAACGTTGGGTTTTTTAAGCAAGTGCTTGGGATCAAAGATGACATTCCTACGGTCAGCAATTGTAACTTTGACAGTTCATTGCTGGACACAGAGTCAAGCCCACACAAGATACCACTCAGCACTGCAGGATGGGCTCTTTGGAAAGAGGACAAGTTACATACGTGCATGTGCCCACACTTGTGTTTTTTGGGGTGGGGATGGAGAGAAGAGTCTTCAAGTGGTGTTGCAGCAAACTTCAAACCATAATATGGAGTCAGTGAAGAAAGAAAGTGGCTTATACACATGCCTCCTCCATCAGGAACAGCATCCTTCAATCATCTCCAGGAGGCAATCACCTGATCTTGCTTTGAGATCACGAAATAAATTCTTAAATATTCAGGTGCTTACTTCATACATTTGTCTATTTTGAAATTAAAATGCTGAATGCTAGGAGACAAAAGAATGTTAAACCAAAACACTGTTGAAATGAGACGACATACTAGTCTACTACTTCCAGACTCATATACATTTGAATAGTAACAGGAATTGAGGTAAGACTGGTATTTTTAAGCTGTGACGTAACTTCAATCATAAAGGCCATGTGAAGTCCAAGAAAGAATCCATAGAGGAATATTTTCAACACCACATTTTTGTTGCTTCAAATCACTAAATACTGAACCCTCACGTGGTAATGTTTTATTTGATCAAGGGTGGAGTGAAGATCTATTAAAAACCAGCTGAAGACAGTCTGAACTGCTGTTTTATATTCAAACACAAGGCCATTAACAGAAGATAGATCACCACACAGTGTATATTTTTTTCTGGATATTGACCAATCTGCTGTGTACCAAGCAACTTCATTTCAGGTTCAGTTACCATCATCCCCTTCAGATTCAGCACATGCTAATACAAAACAATCAGGAACTTCATGTGGAACATTTTGGATATGCAAAAGTATGTAACCATTCTGGGCACAAAGGAGCAGACGGATGTTCAAGAATACTGTTGATGTGAAGGTTTCCTGCACTTAGAACAATTTTTCAACTGCAAACCATTATTCCCAGTTCAAATTAGAGGCAAGTAAAAGACATGATGAGAATGTGGAACTAATTGTCACAGGGAGTAGTTGAAGTGAACAGTATAGATGCATTTAAGCAGAAGCTTGACAAACAAAGAAGGAAAATAACACCATGATGCATAGATTTAGATTTTGATGAAGGAAGCTTGAGCAGAGCACCAACACCAGCACAGACTGGTTAGGATATGTAGCACAGAAACTGGCCAATGTAATTTTGTTTTTATATAATGTACTCAAGAGACGCAGGTGTTGCTTAGCCGTACATACTGCCAAAAGGTACTGTTCAGCGACCTTCTTAAACCACTGTAATCTGTGCGCTATAGGTAGATCTGCAATGTACTGGGAACGAACTCGAAGATTTTGGCAAGCATCATATATTTCCAAGTCAGGACAGCGAATGGTTTTGACAGAAACTTGCAAGTGGTGTTCTAGGAGTTCAAGGCAGTGCCCTGTTGGATAGTATCTGCCTGCCCTTATCCTTCCAGGTGTAGTGGTTGCAGGTTTGGGAAGGTGCTGTCTAAGGACCTTTATGCAGTGCATTTTGTAGATGGTACATACTGCTGCTACTGAGCAACGGAGGAGCGCTGAAATGGTTCCTAGCGCCTGACCTGCTCTTGGAGCCACTATGTCTCATCCAGTTAAGTATCTGGTCAATGATTACATCAAGGATGCTGATCCCAAGGAAGTGGGAATTCAATGATGGTCATACCAACGAACATCAAGGGCCAACTGTCTGGCATTTGTGGGGCATAACTGTTGTTATTTGTCACTAATCAGCTCAAGCCTGGATTTTCCAGGGCTTGCTTCTAGTCCATTTGGAAAAGGACTGCTTCAGTATCTGAAGAATCAATGATGCTGAACATTGTGCAGTGAATCTCCCCAGTTCTGACCTTAGGATGGAAGGAAGGTCAGTGCTTAAGCAGCTGAAGATGGCTGGATCTGGCACACCACCCTGAAGAACTCCTGCAGTGATGCCCTGGAGCCAAGATGACTGACCAACAACCACAACCATCTTCCTTCGCGCTAGGTATGACTCCTATCAGAGAGTTTCTTTCTTCACCCCCACCTTCCTAGTTTCCCTTTGAGTCCAGTTTTGCCAGGGATCCTTGATTCCACACAATAAAATCAAGACTTGATATCAAGGACTGTCACCCTCACAACTGGAATGCAACTGTTTTGTCCATGATTGAATCAAGTCTGTAATGAAGGCCAGGAGCTGAGGCCCTTGCAGACCCCAAACCAGTTGTCAATGTAGGTTATTATTGAGCAGGTGCTGCCCCATAACACTGCTGACCTTCCATCACTTTACTAATGATCGAGTGCAGACTGATGGGACAGTACTCGGCCAGGTTGAATTTGTCCTGCTATGCGTACACAGGACATAGCTACACAATTTTCCATATTATCAGGTAGATACCAATACTGTAGATGTACTGAAGAAGGGTAATAACCGAAACGGTGACTGCTCCTTTTCTCCAGATGCTGCCCAGCTTGCTGTGTTCTTCCAGTCTCTGTCTGTCTATCTACCTCTGTAGCTGTACTAAAACAGGTTGGCTTGAGATGTGGCTAGTTTCAGAGCGCAAGTCTTTAGTATTATTGCCAGAATATCATCTGGGCCCATATCCTTTGCAGTATTCAGTGCATGCAGCAGTTTTTTGATGTCGCATGGAGTGAATCAAACTGACTAAAGACTGACACGAGTTGCTGGGACCCTCTACAAGAGGCAGAGATGGATCATCCACTCAGCACCTCGGATGAAGATTGCCACCAATGCTTCAGCCTCATCTTATGCACTGATGTCCTGGGCTCTTTCATCATTCAGAATGGGGATATTCGTGCAGCCTTCTCCTCCAATGAGGTGTTTGATTGTCCACCAGCATTTGTGACTTGATGTGGCAGGTCTGTATGCTTAGATTTGATCCTTTGGTTGTGGAATCAGTTAGATCTGTCTTTCGCTTGCTGCTTATCCTGTTTGGTAACCAAATAGAAACCAAAAGAACTGCGGATGCTGCAAATCAGGAACAAAAACAAAGTCGCTGGAAAAGGTCAGCAGGTCTGGCAGCACCTGTGAAGGAAAAAACCGTTAACGTTTTGGGTCCGTGTTCTGAGGAAGGGTCACCGGACCTGAAACAGTAGCTCTGTTTTTTCCTTCACAGATGCTGCCAGACCTGTGGTAACCAAAGAGTCCTGTTATACCGGGTTAATACGTCATTTTTAGATATGCCTGGTAATGTTCCTGGCATGCCCTTTTACACTTTCCATTGAAGAGGGTTGATCCTGTCTTGATAATAATGACCAAATGGGAGATGTGCCTGACCACGAGGGTGCTGATTGTGTTGAGAGTGGTTCTGCTAAAAGCCCACTGTGCCTCATTGATTCCCAGTCTTGAGTTGCTAGATCTGTTCAAAATCTATCACCATTTAGTACCGTTATAGTGCCATAAAACATGATGCAAGGTATTATCGACATTAGGGATCAAATTCGTCTCCATCACAACCATGCAGTGACCACGGTTACCAATACAGTCACAATCTACCACAAGCAGATTGGCAAGGATGAGATCAAATATGTTTTTCCCTCACCACCTGTCACAGACCGAGTCTAACCAGCTATGCCCTTTAGACCCAAACAGTGCGATCAGCAGCGCTGCTGGCCAAACTATTCTTGGGGAACACTGAAATCTTTCGCCCAGAATATTTTCTACATGCTTGCCATCCTCCAAGCATTGTTCAACATGTAGAAGCAGAATCATCAGCTGAGGTAAATGGTAATCAGCAGGATATATCTTTGTCTATGGTTGACCTGACACCATGAGATTTCATGGTTCTGAAGTCCCAGAACTCCCACAGCAACTCCATTCCACTGAAGTGCAGAGCGAGATGAACACAGCAGGCCAAGCAGCATCACAGGAGCAGAAAGGCTGACGTTTCGGGCCGAGACCCTTCTTCAGAAATGGGGGAGGGGAAGGGGGTTCCGAAATAAATAGGGAGAGAGGGGGAGGCAGAAAGAAGACGGATAGAGGAGAAGATAGGTGGAGAGGAAACAGACAGGTCGAAGAGGCGGGGATGGAGCCAGTAAAGGCGAGTGCAGATGGGGAGGTAGGGAGGAGATCGGTCAGTCCAGGGAGGACGGACAGGTCAAGGGGGCAGGATGAGGTTAAAAGGTAGGAAATGGGGGTGCGGCTTGGGGGGGGGGGGGGGGGATAGGTGGGAGGAAGAACAGGTTAGGGAGGCGGGGACAAGCTGGGCTGGTTTTGGGATGCGGTAGGGGGAGGGGAGATTTTGAAGCTTGTGAAATCCACATTGATACCATTCGGCTGCAGGGCTCCCAAGCGGAATATGAATTGCTGTTCCTGAAACCTTCGGGTGGCATCGTTGTGGCACTGCAGGAGGCCCAGGATGGACATGTCGTCTGAGGAATGGGAGGGGGAGTTGAAATGGTTCGCGACTGGGATGTGCAGTTGTTTATTGCGAACCGAGCATAGGTCCCCGAGCCTCCGCTTAGTTTCCCCGATGTAGAGGAGGCCACAACGGGTACAGCGGAAGCAGTATACCACATTGGCAGATGTGCAGGTGAACATCTGCTTGATGTGGAAAGTTTTCTTGGGGCCTGGGATGGGGGTGAGGGAGGAGGTATGGGAGCAGGTGTAGCACTTCCAGCGGTTGCAGGGAAAAGTGCCGGGTGTGGTGGGGCTGGAGGGGAGTGTGGAGCGGACAAGGGAGTCACGGAGAAAGTGGTCCCTCCGGAACGCAGATAAGGGTGGGGAGGGAAAGATGTCTTTGGTGGTGGGGTCGGATTGTAAATGGTGGAAGTGTCGGAGGATGATGCGTTGGATCCGGAGGTTGGTGGGGTGGTACGCGAGGACGAGGGGGATTCTTTTTTGGTTGTTATTGCGGGGATGGGGTGTGAGGGATGAGTTGCGGAAAATG